CAAAATGTCAGCAAAGAGTCACAGATCGGTGAAAAAGAGAAATGTCGACCGTATGAAGACATTGTTTAAGAAAAGATTTGGTTCCTATGAACACACCTAAATATTGAACTGGCATTTTGAAATATTTAAATTCTTGCATCTCGGTTAAGGAATTAATTTTTAGCAATCCTCTCTAAAAACACAGACTTTGAATACCTTTGCAGAAACAGCTCCTAGCGTCTCAGTGTTGACCCAATTTTCCATATGGACCTTCAAATAAATAAATACATTTCTTCACATCTGTAAATGTAGATGGTTTTAAGGGTGGGAAATAAAGACGTGAAATTACATAAAACAAACTTCTATCTTTTATTGCAACAAGTTCACTACAGCAGACAAAAACAAAACACTGGTGCAAATATCCTGCAACACCCTGAGGGACCCCGGTACCATCCCACGGCAAAGCGATGCACAAGCGGACGTCACAAAACTTCAAATCACATCGTAAACAACGAATATTTACATTACTGATCATATTAAACAAAGTGCGCCTGAAGTACGACGAATATAACTCACAATAAAATCATTTGTTCTAATACACTTTAAGATTTTAGTAAAATAATTAAAGATTTAGACACCGCTGTTTAAAAATGCTCGTAATAATTGTTGTACATTTTAGACAATTAAATAAACATTTTTTTTCAAAATATAAACCAGTGCAATTCGCACTATTTTTATTTCAATTCATGGAGGAACAATAATATGTACTGTAAACATGTGCAATCCACCCCCAAAGTTAACTTTGCGGGAGCGTGCATCAAAGTTGCACCAAAAGTTAACTGAAAGGTTAAAATTTTGGTGCAACTTTGCACCAAAGGTAACTGGTGGAGTAACTTTGCACCAAAGGTAACTGGTGGAGTAACTTTGCACCAAAGTTACTTCACAGGGGACAGGATTACTGGGGAGGAGGGATGATGTAAAAGGATATTACAAAGGAGGCCGGATGGGATTAAAACTCTTCCAAACGTCGATAAAATCTTGTTTTGATGAAAAATTAAGTCGCAAAGTTAGCTATTGTAGAAAAAATGCAAGGATGAGAAATTCAGGAGGGAGAACGAGTTGAAAGGGATAAAATCTTCAGTTATTTATTTTAGCCTTCAAGTCCAAACCTCTTTGCCTTCAACAGAAAATAAACTGTTGTTAATATCAAAGAAATAAAATGTAAACACTTTTAGAATATACTGCTTCAAAAGTGGTTTCCACTTTGCATTTAGATCCCAGCTGTCAGGAACGAGCCACTTCCATGGTGAACAGCGACCAACGCAGTGATCATTGTGTTCCTGCAGATGGAGGCTGAGATTTACACATAATACAGGCTAAATTTATAACCAACCCAGACGCCGCCTTCTAATGCTGGATTATTCTTTGAAAGCAAAGATAAATCCTCAAGAAGTGTCTTTATGCATAAAAGGATTAATGCACTATACTATGACTATAAAACACATTTGAAGACAAGATTTATGTAGTTTTCATCAGTGTCTTCTGTTTTTTTTTTTAAGTTCACAATAAGTACATAATGTAAAGTCATATTCTCCAGTTTGAGTCTGATGGTTTTTGTACCTAACTGGGAATGATTCCCCAAATCCAATCAATCAGCTGTATATCTAGTTCAGCAGTCGGAAACTCTTTAGCTCCGCATTAGCTCCGCATTTCCATCTGGAAACCTTCCGTTGAAGTAATTTTGGGAAGGGGCGAAAATACTGGTTAGCT